AACAACAAGTGTTGGCGAGGGTGTGGAGAAAAGGGGACTCTAGTACACTGCTGGTGGGAATGCAGACTGGTGCAGCCACTATGGAAAACAATATAGTGTTACCTCAAAAAATTAAAAATTGAACTTCCATTTGACCCAGTGATCCCATTTCTAGGAATATACCCTAAGAAGCCTGAAACACCAATCAGGAAGAATATATGTACCCCCATGTTCAAAGCAGCAGTATTTACAATAGCTAAGATCTGGAAACAGCCCAAGTGTCCATCAGTAGACGAATGGATAAAAAAGCTGTGGTACATATACACAATGGAGTACTATGCAGCTGTAAGAAAGAAAGATCTCTTATCCTTTGAAACGACATGGAGGGACCTGGAAAGTGTTATCCTAAGCAGAGCAAGCCAAACAGAGAAAGACAAGTATCATATGATCTCACTAATTTGTGGAATATAATGAACATAACAGTCTGAGGAATGGGTTAGTCCAGGAGACGTGGAAGTGGGGTACAGACTGACAATCCCCAGAAGAGGGGGTGGTGGGAGAGAGATAAACCACAGAACTTATATGCATGTATGCATGAACAATGGACATGGACAACAAAGGTGGCGAAAGGGCAGGGAGGGATGGGGGGGAATCAGTGGGGGGGGAAAGGAGAAACATCTGTAACAAAAATTAATTAAATAATTTTTTTTTTTTTTAAATGAGGTTCCAACTGGTGGTTCAGGATTTCTAATCCTTTCTTATCACCAAGATTCTTCACCCATACTATGGTCAGAGACTTAACTGAAACAGTCCTATACAACCCCCACTCTTCATTGATTTAAACCTCAATATCTCTATCCATATCTACCATATGCCAAGCACTCTGACATTCATTTATTCAAATACTTACTGAATAACTACTACGTGTAAAACCTGTGCCAAGTACTTAGGGTACAAGAAAATGAAGAAGACATGGTCCCTGGACTAAAGTTTATAATCTTATAGAACACCACATATACAAATTACAAGGTAAATATATAGAGATAAGCACAAGATATTATGGGAGCACAAAGGAACATCAAAAACTGTCTGGGAGAGGAAAGACATCAGGATAGGATTCTTTGAGGTGTTAACACCTGAATCTTTAAAAGGTGCATAGGAGTGCCCTGGCCATGTAGTTTAATTGGTTGGAGCATCACCCCTGTATGCCAATGTTTTGGGTTCCATCCACAGTTGGGGCACATACAGCAGTCAACCAATAAATGCATGGATAGGTGGAAAAATCAGTTGATGTTTCTCTCCCCCCACTTCTCTCTCTCTCTCTGAAATCAATAAATAAAAAATATTTTAAATAAAATAAAAAGTGAGTAGGTGTTATCCTGACAAAGTGCATTCCAAAAGAGGGAACAGCTTGGTGAAAGCACAGTGATAAGAAACGGTATAGTGTATTTAAAGAAACAATGAACAGCTGCTAGATGTTGCTTAAGGGGAATAAAGGCAAGAACTGGGATGGAGGGGCAGGGGGAGTGGCCAAAGAGATCAGAAGAAGCCAAGTCATGAAAGGAGTTATCAAACCTTAACCAACTGACTAGATGGGACACTGAGGTTTATGTGAAGAAATTATGTGGCCAGATAGATTATTCAGGGAGCAATACAGAAGATGAAGTTAAAGGGGGATAAGGCTGGCAGAAAGAAGGCCAGTTAGGAGGCAGTTATAACAGTTCTGCAGGAAATAAAGGGGCCTGAAATAATGAAATGCAAGCTGTAATAAATATGGAGAAAATATATAATACAAACACATTATGCTGCTGGTCTAGACATCACACTTTGAGCACCACTAACCTACACTAGAGGTTGGCAAACTTTTTCTGTAACAGACCAAACAAAAAGGATTTTAGGCTTTATGGGCCACATATGGCCTCTATTGCACTTCTTGGTTTTTCCCTCCTTAGCTAGTGAACTTTATTTTTTTTTAAGGCAGCAGGCTGGATTTGTGAGCACAGTTAGTTTGCTGATCCCTGCTGTATATCAGTAAAGAAATGAGGGTTAACCTTCCTATTAGATTAAATTTCCTAAAATGCTACTTGAATATTAGTCCCCTACTCAGAAACGTCTCCGTTGGTCCTGATCTACTGAATAAGTCAAATCCCTATGATGCATGCATTCATAGACATCTATACTCTAGCTCCAACCAGACAGGTGAACTACACCCCTTTGTGAATCTTCCATTCTTATTAAATTGACCTACTTACATTTACCTGCCTCCATTTCTTTGCAGTGTTCCCCCATATTCTTTCCTCCCTTCCAAACCTACACAAATATCCTTTCTTCAAAGCACAATTCAAATCCTACACTGAAGTAACTGCACCCTCCTTAGAATTCCTAAGAGCACTGTCTCAATTGTTCTGATATTTACTTGCTATCTTGAGCTATTTCTTACTTCAAATAAACTGTATATTCTTGAGGACAGAGAATAATTTATACCGATAGAGCCAGCATATAACAAGGGATAAATAAAATTAAAACATTTGTGAATATGTATGTAATATGTATATACACACACACTTTATTTTCTAAAATAGCTATTAACTGAAACAAATGTGATTTCACCCTTACCTTGTATCAGTAATTGAACACTTTAACTCCATAGACACAATTTGAATGCCACAGGAACCACAGAAGACAATCCACAAGTACACTACTCTCTTATTACATGTTTTTAGGACTAATTTACTAAGAAAACAATAATAATACAAGTAGAATTTTTCCAATGGTCAATGTTATCAATATGGGTACACTGGGGATAATATTAAATACAGAAGTTACTAGATTAAGTCAAAGTTTACTTACCTATAGCTTCACTTATTTTTAAAATGCAAAGATTTTACAACTAAATTGCTTTAAATTCACCCTTAATTATTACTCAAATTCAAAGCCATACACACACACACACACACACACACACACACAAGCCACACACAGTCTGAATATGTTTAAATAAAATTCTCTGTGACAATTCACATTACCAAAATGGCATTACTGATTTCATTCAAAAATTAGGAAAGAGAATATATTTTTAAATTTCAAGAAAATAGTCCATCTTAGTTTACTTCTGATAAATGGCTATAATCACAGAATGTTTTGAGCTGGATTAATGGATTCTTCCTCTGCTTGAAATTACTAAAGAAGTCTTTTTCAAGTTCGAAGTGTGAACTGTACCTTATTTTACTACACAAAGAATGTTCAAGAAGCTATAAAAACTTCACCAGAATAATCTGCCCACATTTCAATGCCAACTACAAAAAAAGTCTAAAACATTTATAGAAAGGTATAAAATAACAACAGCACATCGAAGAAAGCTTAGTAATTTACAACCCTAAAAAGACTATTATTCATTTATAAATTTAATATTATTAATGAACCAATTGGAGGACAAACCCAGGAACCAGGGACTTCCAGTTCTCAATTCTTGTTGGCCACTGGCTTAGTAGAATCTTGGACACACCCCCATATGGTGAACAAGAAAAGCTTAACTGACATTCCAAGGTTGTGAGAATTGATTAAATGTTTATGAAGTACTCTAGGACAGTGAAGGAAAGCCACTGTAACCATTTGGTTAATACAAAACTGTAGCTACCTATTAGGCTTCCAAATCCAATCATAAAATTCTTTTGTGTCTTCTCAGCACAGCAAATCTTCAGTGAGTCAGTCAAGTGCCTGCATTTAATGAGCTAGTTTAGCAACCTCAGAGAAATGAATTTTCTTCCAAATCTTTGTTTTCTCACAAACTCTGTCACTATCCAACCTATTTGCAAAGGGAAACATGATCCGATTTACAGTCAAGTTAAGTCTAGTTATTGATAAGCCAATACCAAATGACTGAAAACTATTAGGAATCACAGTGGAACTTTGTTAACTTACCAGAAATGTGAAGCCTGAAAGTAACCCCAGAAAACAGTCATTCTAAGAAGAGCTTTATTAAAGAAAAAGTCCCTACACTTTTTTTTCAAGAGCTGGAAAGTGTTTTTAGACAGTGTGGACATGGGACTAAATTCGCTCAAAACTGAATCTAATTTGTTAGGTAGTTCCAGCACCTGCTTGGTGTTGAGTGGCTAGAGAGAGACTGGTGAGGTTGCTCAGGAAAAGTGCTGATGCCATCTCCAGCTGCCCCCTTCCTGAATGACAGTAACACAGTAACAATGCAAACACTGACAAAAGAGCTGGGAGCCACCCTGAGCCTCTGCGTAGCAATACTTCTACCCTACCCCCAACACACACAGCCACAAACCCAGCAAAGGCCCTCCTCCTTCCAGATCTCACACGCGGAGACCTAGTCTCTACTTTGGCAACGTGGGAAAGTACACCCCTTCACTCCGTTCAAGACAGCTGAGCACCTCAGAGGGAAGGGGGAAATGCTGCCTCTATCTAAACTGCCAGAGGAAAGGGGACACTTCCTCTCTGCAGACGGGGAGCAGACCCGGCGTGCCCAGGGACATTCCGAGAACTCCCGGCTCTCGGACCTCCGGCGAGGAGGCAAGGGGACCCGCGGAGAGCGCGACCCTTCCTCCGCAAAAGGCCGGAGGGTCGCCCGGCCCGGGGTGGTGGAAGCGGGGCTCGGGCGCCGGGGACACCGTTCTCCAGGGGGTGGAAGCGCTCGGCCGCCCGCTTCCTGGGGAAAGCGACAGTAGGCTCGGGTCCGAGAGCACAGGGAGCACCATCTTTCCTCGAGCCCAGTCCCGAGGGATGGCGCAGGCGGCCGGGGCGGCAACTCTCCCTCTCGCCCAACTCTGGGGTGAGCGCGAGGGCGGCCGGCCCGGGGCTGCCCCGAGGGATGCCGCCCGGGTGGGGGAGGCGGCGAGGCCGGCCTCGGGTCCGCTCCCTCCCCACGCGGTCCGCGGCCGGAGGCCGTCCGCGCTCTGGTCCCTCCCGCCGCCGCGCGGGGCAGGGCCGCCGACCTCGGCCGGCCGGGCGCGGGGCCAGGCGGCGGTGGCGGCGGGCGGGCCGGCGGCCTGGGGCCCTACCTGAGGCTGTGTACCAGCTCCCGGCGTGACTGGCTTCCCGGCAGACCACTCGGTTGGACATCTTGGTGCCTGTGCCGCCTATGGTGCACGAGGATGAATGAGGAGGCGGCGGCGGCGGCGGCAGGAGCGGCTCCGCGAGGGGACGAGACACCGCGGGCCCAGCCCAGGAGGAGGCGGCAGCGGGGAGGGGATCAGCCCGGCCCAGGAGGAGGAGGAAGAGGAGGAGGCGGCGGCGGCCCAGGAGGAGGAGATGGCAGCCGGGGCGGTGGCAGCAACAATCAGCACAAACTCCGGCGACCGCCGGAAGATGGGGACCGCGGCGGCTTCACCGAAGCCCAGAAAGCCCTGGCCCTGGCCCCCGGAGTCGCCGCTGCTCCCCAGCCGGGGCTGCTTCTCGCCGAGCCGCCCCCACGGCCCCTTCCCCTCCCAGCCGGCCTCCCGGAGCCACAGCCGGTGACCCCACCCCCGTGACTCCGCGCCCGCCCCCTCCCCCCACCCCCCGCGGGACTCCCAGCACCCACCCCCACCCCCACCCCCACCCCCACCCCGGGCCGGGCCCTCCTGCCTGCCCGGCCGCCGGCCTGCCGGCCCCGCCCCGCCCCTCCTCTGGCCGCGCGGCGAGGTTAAAGGCGGAAACCGGACAGGCCAGACGGCATCTGGGGTCGGGCGGCCCCGCGAGGAGGTAGCGGTGGCTGCAGCTCCGCGCACACAAAAGCCCAGGGCCGGGGCCTGAACCGGGGAAGGCAGACCCGGAGAAGAGCCAACGCTTCCTTACTCGCCACTCTAACGGGTCCTGCCCACTGAGCATGCCCAGCAGCCGCTGCCAGGCCCGCCGAGGAATCTCACCGTGCACGCTCCGCTCTCCGGGGTTTAGAGGCAGCAGAGGCTGGAAGGGGGAGGGCTCGAGGAGCAGGACGCAGCCGCAGGGCAAGCCCCCTCCCCCAGCCAACTTCCTTAAATGAAGAGCACCGGGGGCACGCAGATGCGGCTTTCCACCAGGAAAGTCCAGCTCATACCTCCCTCCTCACACCATACGCAGGAATCCTTAGTGCATTCGCACCCCAGGGTTTCACAATTAGAGACTCAAGTCTGTGGCCACGTTGGGAAGTTCATTTATATAGGCAGGTACAGGGCGGTATGCCTGTGGTCCTGCAAACGCTAGTTTTTGCTTCACAGGGCCACCCTTACCATCTTAGCTTTGACATACTTATCTTGTTTCATGTTATATTTGTGTAGGTGCATGTCTTAACTCCCTAACTGGATTAAAGTGTGGTATGGGTAGCCTCGGTTATTCTCATCTATAAAATGGGAATAATAATACTCAGTGTCCCTAGGATTATGAGTTAATAAATACAGAGCATGACAGAGTAGGCAAAGAGCAAACATTTCCAACCCTCCATTATTTTATCAACCTCAGTATTTCACGTAAGGGTCAAGAGGAAAGAATTCCTTCAAAACTATAGAAGAGTCACAGCAAAGTAAGATATGTTGGGCCTCCCAGGAAGTGTTGTTATGAAGTAAACCATTCCAAAACTGGTAAGACAGTAAGAGAAAGTTGGGTATCTTCAATCAAAGATTTGGGGTTAAAAACCATAAAATTGTTATTAGAATTTCACAGTAAACAGATCTTTGGTAGAGTCCAAAGCAGACATCTGTCTAATATTCAAGCTGCCTAATAGTCAAGTTTCCCTAAAGCTGCAATATACATTAAAAAAAAAAAAAAAGGTACTATCCTATTCCTATACCTCCCGCCTTTTCCAATTTGAAAGCCCAAGGTCTTGTGTGAGATCCCAGTCCTAAAGCCTGGTCAATTACTGGAACACTTCTGACTTTCACATTTTTTCTACACTGTTATTAGGCTAACATGTCTCCACTGAATCTATATATATATTTCTTTACTCAGTGTTTGACCTTCTCACATCACCACTAACCTGCCCATATATTAAGATATGAGAAAAAAAATGTACATGCCAAGTAGTCCTTTAGGGATTAACAGAAAAAATAGGGCTAAAACTCTGATTCTATGGTACCCTTCCCTGGAGTACTAAAACTCAGTGATAACTGATGAAATGGTAAACTTTTTAGCATAAATTTCAAGAAAAGGAAACTGGTGATATGGTTAATATGCTGTTGATAACAGGTGATAGCTCTTGAAGTTAATTATTGGTAATTCAGGTTATATGGCTTAAAAAAGGAAGGGAGGAGACATTGGATACAATGGCGCTTCATATTTCAGGTGGGTCAAATTGGAAAATCAGATTTGAGTCCTGGCTGTCACTCATCAACCATGGGCACCTAGTAATTTAACTTTTTCAGGCCTCACAGTTTCCCCCATCTGTCAAATGTAAACAGCAGTAATATCTAATTCAAAGACTTGCTGTGAGGATCAAGGTATATGAAAAACAATTTATAAGCTGTTCCTTGTAAATGTTATCATTGTCCTGTGCTCCTAGCAACAATCTAAATCTCATTCTAAAGTAGTAATCTAATTTTAAATTAAGCTTCCATCCTATTAAAATGCTCAGTTGGCAGTTTCTTTCCCCAAAGGATTTTTCTTACTGGTCAAACTCAGCAAATACCACACTGCCAAGCAAAGTGAAAAAGGTTAGAGGCACTTCTATTATCTCTAGAACACTCAATATATCCCATGATTACTCCTGTACATCTTATTCTGGCTACCTTATGCAAGGATAGACTCTTAAAAGAAATAAGCTGGAACTACTCACTTACCAACCTTTCCTAAATTAAGGAAGATCTAGCCCTAGCCGGTTTTGCTCAGCGGTTAGCGCGTTGGCCTGTGGTCCGGAGAGACAGGGTTTGGTTCCTGCTAAGGGCATGTACCTCGATTGCAGTTGTCCCCGGCCCTGGTTGGGTCGTGCGGGTGGCGACCACCCGATGTGTCCCTTTCCCGTCGATGTTTCATTTCTCTCTCTCTCTTCCTCTCTTTCCCTCCCACTCTATCTGAACAAAGAACGAAAAAATGTCCTCTAGTGAGGATAAAAAAAAAAAAAATTAAGGAAGATCCATATAATGCGAAATACCAGGCAAAGCCTGTTTGGCAATACTGTACATTTCCTATGTTGTTATTAACAATTTCCATTATACCCCTTAGGGATTTGGGTTTGACACTCCATAAACATCATTCAAAGTAAAAGCAAGAAGGAAATCTTCATTAATAGAAATACTTATGAAGCACAGACCTTCAATAAATAAGGTACCACTAGTCCCAGAACCCAACATAATAACCCAGCATATCTCCTGAAAAAGCATGTTGGATATTGATTGCATCAGTCTGTATTAGCAAATGACCAGAAACAACCACAATTTCCATCAGTATGAGACTTGTTAAATTAGGATGCATCCATACATATGCACCCATTAAAAAGAATGAGGTGATGCTACATACTGATATGGAAAGAGCTAAAAAAAAAAAAAAAAAAAATGAAAAAAGCAAATTGCAGAACAACATGCCAAGTGTGCTACCATTTGTGTGAAATGAGTGCTTACTTTCTCATACTTTTCCATATACACATACATGAATACCTCTAGAAGGATACACAACAAACTGGTAACAGTAATTGGATGGCTGAGGCACAGCAACAGACCAAAGGTTTAACCTTTTCAATGTGCATCTTTGAGTATATGTCATATACATATACTACCTATACAAAAAATAATAATTTGTTTACATCTTTAAGCTTGATTTTTGGACTCTACATGGCAATATCAAATTGACCAATTTTAGATTTTACTTATCCACAAGTGACAGCTTCAGGAGCCCCTAATTACTAAAAACCCTGTATCAGAAAAATATTCTAGAATATAAGAGTTTTGAACAAATCAAGGTTGAGACAAGAGTTTAGCATAAAGATACTCTTTTGATTTCAATTAAAACTGGTACTCTAGCCCTGGCCAGTTTGGCTCAGCGGTTAGAGCGTTGGCCTGCGGTCCGGAGAGACCCGGGTTCGGTTCCCGCTAAGGACATGTACCTCGGTTGCAGTTTGTCCCCAGCCCTGGTTGGTCGTGCGGGTGGCAGCCACTCGATGTGTCCCTTCACGTCGATGTTTCTCTCTCTCTCTCTTCCTCTCTCTCCCTCCCACTCTATCTGTACAAAAAATGGAAAAATGTCCTCGGGTGAGGATAAAAAAAAAAAAAAGCTGGTACTCTAATTTAGTATCAGTCAACTTTGCATTTCTTCTTTAGAAATCAAGCTTCATAAGTAACATTTATGAAACACTTACTATGTACCTGACACTGGACTAAGTACATTACACATTTAATGATTCTTACAAGATGAAAACTTGTTCATTTCCAATTTGGTGGAATAAATTTTGTGCATAAAGCTTTTTCCAAATTTATTGTTAATATTATTTAGGGTTCCCAGAAATGAAATAACTGAGTCAAAAGATTTAAAATTTTTTTAAAGGCTGACAAGTTTTTTTTAGTGACTGCCCCTTTTATCTCTGGTTACCTATTTTCCACTACTATATACAGGGCAAAAATAGGTTTACAGTTGTGAGTACGCAAAAACAATTTATTTTTGTCGTCTTATTCTATTATTTGTTTTGGTTTTTTTTTTTAATCCTCACCTGAGTTTATTTTTCTAATTGATCTTCAGATAGAGTGGGAGAGAGACGGAGAGAAAGGGAGAGAGAGAAAAACACTGATGTGAGAGGGATACATCAACTGGTTGCCTCCCACTCGACCTTGACCAGGGCTGGGCATGAACCAAAACCGAGGTACGTGCCTTTGGCTCGAATCAAACCCATGACTCATTGGTCTGTGGACCAACACTCTACCCCTGAGCCAAACTGGCCAGGGTTCTATTATTTGTATTCTTATTATTGTTACTTTTTCATATCCTTACTTATATCTTTTAGGTAATGATGGCTGGTAATTTAACCAACAACCAACAAATGTGATATTTTTTAGTTGTTTTTAATCCTCACCAGAGGTATTTTTTAAAATATGTTTTTACTGCCCTGACCAGTTTGGCTCAGCAGTTAGAGCATCAGCCCTCGGACCAGAGAGTTGCGGGTTTGATTCCCGCTAAGGGCACGTACCTCGGTTGCAGTTTGTCCCCTACCCCAGTTGGGGTCATGTGGGTGGCGACCACTTGATGTGTCTCTCTCACATCAATGTTTCTCTCTCTCACTTCCTCCCTCTCTTCCTCCTGCTCTGTCTGAAGATAAATGCAAAATTTAATAATTATTTATTATCAAATAAATAAATGTTTTTATTGATTTTAGAGAGGGAGGAGAGGGAGAGAGAGAGAAATATCAATGAGAGAGAAACATCAATCAACTGCCTCCTGCACACCACCTACTGGGGATGGAGCCCAAAACCTGGGCATGTGCCATGAACAAGAATCAAACCAGTGACCTCTTGGTGCATGGGACAAAGCTCAATTCACTAAGCCACACCAGCCAGGCAAGGAGAATATTTTTTCCATTGATTTTTTTTAGAGACAGTGGAAGGAAGGGCAGGGGAGCAGAGCAGGGGGGAAGAGAGAGAGAGAGAGAGAGAGAGAAACATCGATGTGAAAGAAACATTGATTGGTTGCCTCCCACACGTGACCTGACCGAGGTGAGAATGAACTTGCAACCCAGGTACATGTTCTTGACTGGGAATGGAACCTGAGACACTTCCCAGGGCATGCAGACCAATGTTCTGACCACTGGGAACACTGGCCAGAGCAAAAGTGGATTCATAAACCTACTTTTGTCCACTCCTGTACTGTCCTACTTTAAATCCAGAGATTTTTAAACAAGCAGATTCTCAGTGATAGCCATTTACAGCTTCCACCTTTTGTCCCTTATTTCAAGCCTTGAATTTGTTAATGCT